ACTCTCAGCTCAGGTGCTCTGGTGTTACAGTAATTGCGGTAAGGTCGGCTAAACTCTTGTTTGAACAGCGGCTACGTCTCATCCTAACCGTGCTGTGTGAGCGACTCTTCAGCTGACAGAGCTGTCAGCACCCGGCAGGAGAGATGCTCTGGGGCGCGCTGCGCTGAAACCCCGCCCTGCTGCTCCACAGAGCGTTTTTCGTTCGCTTATTCAGTTTGACACAGCATTTCCCCAAAAATACACCAGCCAATTGAGAGGTCGATTGGATAAACGGTTGTCGAGAAAAGCGAAGAACACACAAACAGACCACTCTGTGAATCTCTCAGTCACAACTTAACGTTTCCAGAATAAAAGTGTCCTTTATATTGTCTTGGCAACATATCTTATAGGTTAGACAATATTATGCAAACGCAATTTTCCGACATTAGGTTATGTGGGATGTGTTCGTATTCATTTAAACACATTAACTGTTGTGATACGCACCAATCTTTTATTTATTTTTTTTCAACTGATGCAAGTCAGGGGTGAGTAAAATATTCCTGAGTTGCTTGCTTTGTAACAGGTTTGTACATTATAAATACACTTCCACAGAAGGAAAGATGTGTAATATTTGCGCAGTACTGCATAAGTACACGTTTTACAGGTTTTTAATCCATATGACTTAACCTTCAGTCAACAGTGGGTCCACTTTGGAAAAATGAAAGTCACTATCCAGGTTTGTACGCATAAAAACTTTTTCTAACACAATATTTTTTCTCATTATAATTAGATACGTGGTTATTACAGCATCTTGCATTCATTTTGTGTTAAAGAAACCTCTCATTAGTACGTAGTTACATTTCTTGTTACAAAAGAGTGACAAAGTCCTCCAGAAAAATATGTCACAGAGGGCTGTGAAACTGATCAAATTCAAGATGAAGGGGAAATGAAAAGGCCTTTTACTGATAACTGTCAGACCCTTACCATTGCACAGGAACCTCACTTCTTATCTGATCCCCTGTATACTTTAGTGTACATCGCCCAATTTCAGTTTGATAAGATACCAATGTGAAAATCGAAATCAGCAGTTTGCATTAACAAACAGTCATTTCCACATTTTGAAAAAATAGACCCTATTTACTGTAAAAAAAACTCACAAACTGGTGTTGTTACTGCAGCTCCTTGGGCTCCGGCTGTACACATTTAATTACTTGTGACTTTCATTAGCTACAGAGCAGGCGGCAGAGCAGTCCTCTGACCCTGGCTTTTCCACAGCCTGCATGTCTACCATGCACTACCTAACCACACCACTGAGGAAGCTGTCTCTGGCTAAGACATCACACAAAACCACCAATGCTCCTTATAGGCAGCAGATAACAACTATAAGCATTTTAAATAAAAGGTTTTGAGCTTCATGCAATTCAGAAAAGCATGATCAACAAATGTGAATCAATAACAAAAAAAAAATAAAAATCAAACATTTGGTATTTGGAAACATTAGTAAGAAAATAACAAAAACTTTTTTTGTCAGTCAGTGACCAATCCAACAGTGATTTTAAGAAGTCACAAGCCATTGTAGATAAGATTCAAGGCATATATATATATATGCAGCCAAAAACGTAATAAAAAAAAGCTACACTATGCATCGAAGGTCTATAAAAGGATCAGAGAGGTCCATAATAGGTTCCAAATGAAGTGAGACAACCAGAGCGCACTATAACTCACACTGTAGCTAGATAGTGCTTAGATCCTTTTCACACAAGCTTAAATAATGTGACAGCAGACTCCCACCACAGGCTGAAACAAAAATGGCTCCTACAATTTAACATTTTCATCAAAAAAATTTGGGTTGCAAGGACGGAAAAGGGATGTCTTCCAAATCAATCTCTTTAAATGAGTCATCACCATCTCAGCATCTCATCTGTGAGCAGGAAAAGCAGGAAAAGCAGGAAAATAACAATACGTTCCTCCAATATATGTGGCAATATGTTGACTTACAGAACCAACAGATGCCTTTTTGCGTGTTGCCAACCATGAACTCACAAGCAAAAGGCCATTTTACAAGTAGAGAAGTGCATTGATATCATGTAGCATTCAGACATCATATCACACCAAAACATCAACAGATTCCAGTTGTTTGATATCTCTTATTTTATATCAGTTAAGTAGCTTAGCGTAGATATTACTGATTTATTATACACATGCTGACAATAACTAATTGAGTTACTGGTGACATAGCAATTTGTGGTTAGCAACATTCATTACCCACTCTGACCTGTTCACCAGCCAAATATGATAAGTGGTAACTAGAACTTGACCCACAATTCATTTGTCCCTAAGGAGAATATATTGGGTGTCACCGGCTAGGTGGGCAGTACATCAACTTGGAATCACAGCGTACAGCCAGGTTTACATTGTTGTGCTTTTTTTGTGTACCAATGTTGGAGACTGATGTGACCCTCACTGCCCACCGCACCCAATGTGACATCAGTGAATAAAATCAGCTTACTACTATTGGTGCTTTCTACACAACTTCTTTCTCTTTGTTTTGCCCTAAGAAACATCTGTGTTACATGTTATTAGGAGATCTGCTGACATATTGCCAGTGTTAAGTCACCAAACAGAAAACATAAGGCCGAAGAGAAAGACAAGGCATGGAGGTTGGAGCTGTGCGAGCCCTGAGAGGCTGCTTAAGACTGGTGATTATATTAATAATATATGATGCAGTTTTATGGCTGGTAAAAAAATATTATTTGGCTTGTAAATTCTCTCACTTTACCTGCCAATGGCATATTAGCCAAAAAGTTAACTTGGGACCCTGAAACAGAGAGTTTACTATAAATCCTAATAAGACATGTTACAAAATATGTGAAGACATACAAAAAAACCCTACACAGCTCACTTTTCACTTCTAATAACAATAACAGTTTTGCTAAATAGCTATTAACTAATCATAAACTAAAGCAAAGACACAGATTAAATGCATTTATGGCTTACAAGTGTGAAAAAAGTTTTGTGAGCTCGTCCTCACAGGCTCTTGTGTCACTTCCTCACCCGTACAGATCAATGCTCTCCCACAGATCGTACTCTGCTGACCAGGAATCACATAAATCCTGTAACAGCTCGTCGTACATTCTGTATTACTATACGTTTGGAAATCGCTGGAGCTACTTTATTTCTGACGCTTTAATGAGAGAATTTCAGTGTATTTCTGTTTCATTTCAGCTTCCACATACCACTTACTGATGCAGTTAAAGTTCAAACAGAGTAAAGAGTACGTATGCCTCCTGGAGATATGGACAGATTTACACCTTTACAACATCTGGCTAGGTTGCTCAAACTACCTCCTGAACGATCCAATCCGCATGAAATAGCTAAGTGTAAAAGGTTTAAACACCAGTTATGGAGATATTTGCCCTGTCCTGGCATCCATTTAACATGGTTTTTTGTGAAAGGTTTCTTAATGGATCTTTATGAAAATCTATTATGGCTATGGTCTCCTATGTTAAAAGATTGATTATTCTTTCATCATTAAAAAAGTACAGATACCCCTGAGGCTGTGATAGTGATACAACATATCATAGACACACATTGTTTGAGAACAGATAAAAGAAAGCAGTTATTTCTTATAAGCTGCGATTCCTTTGAGTGACAGCATCTTTAAAACCATAAAGTGTGAATGCAGCCACATGTGATAAAACCAGGGAGTTGTGTCCCTGATAGCATGATACTGAATCCCTGCTACTTCCAGAAAACTTGGACCTCACTGTAGTGTGGAATAAACAAAAGAAGAGCTTCCTCAATCAATTATGTTAAATCAAAATGCACAATGGCTCTGCTGCTCTTCTTTAAACATGAAAATTAGTCTGTGGATGGCACAGCCTACTCTCTGGAGAACAGTTATTTCCCAGGGAGGGCCACCACAGTGAAGGCCCTTTCTAGACCAGACACCAAGAGAATGCTGTCTCCCTTGTAGCAGACTTAATTAAAAACCAACTCTTTTTCATTATTCAAACCATGTTTTACAGGCAGATAAAACTACGGTAATGTGGAAGACGACTACAGGAAGGGTATTAATAACAGGGAACTGTTGACAGCTGGTGGTGAAAAGCTTTGCTTGGCCAAACTTATGCTTGATAACCAATATATTGTAAACTAAAGTCATACTAAGAAGAACATATTACTTAAAATGTAGATTTCTATGATTTAAAGCAAGAGACTACAAATGTTACAACCCATTCTTATGCAGTTGTGTCTTTTCTGTATATTAAAAACATTTATTTGTGTATTGGGGGCTGTAGAAAAGGCACACTATAGACAAAATTAAACCTGAAATCAACACATGCTAGTAAAAGAGAGTCATCAGGTAGTAAAGCCAATCTTCAGCCTCTGTTATCTTGTGAGCGGTGGTCCCACTTGTCCTGTTTATAAGCTTGTCATCAACTTGACAGTCAGCATTAAAGAGCTTCTACATTAGCCTTAAAGGTAAAGCGAAAGGAAAAGCTAAAACGAGGAAAGCTAAAACGGCGTCCCAGGCTGTGATCTAATCATTAGCTGAGGAGTTGTGAACTCCTGTGACCAAAGATGGTAGCTTTGAAGAAACAGTACAGACATCATATTGGTTTAAATTTCATATATATGTGTGTGTGTGTGTGTGTGTGTGTGTGTGTGTGTGTGTGTGTGTGTGTGTGTGTGTACTAAATTCCTGGCTCTCCCGTTAGAAATACCACATCTGAATTATGATTTGCATATCACATCACAGACAAATTCTGTGGCGGCCAGGGCAATTGTAGCTTGTACAACTGTGGGTGCAATGTTTTGCATGCAAAACCCTTTTACGATGGAGTCAAATCAATCACTTACACAGGCACCATCTGGATTATGTGTGTGTGTGTGTGTGTGTGTGTGTGTGTGTGTGTGTGTGTGTGTGTGTGTGTGTGTGTGTGCATCAGACGTACAGGTACAAGTGTGTAGCCAATGCCCAGTGTGAGGCAGTCTGTGAAAAGATGATGCAGTCTTACCCAGCAGAAGAAGCTTCAGCTCCCTTCTTGCATCTCTCTTGTCTCGTCGGAGTTGTTTCTCGATCTCAGAGTTGATTCGTTTGGACTCCTTCGCCTCCTCACTCAGGCAACAAGCCATCATGGAGTCTAAAGTCATCACCGCATGAGCTGAAAAAGCCCGTCTGACAAGGGGCGCCGGGCTTACAACCTCACACTAAATATAAAATAAATGAAACCCCCTCTTTCTCTGAGAAACGGTAAGTTATATGTCCAGACGCCGGTAATGGATGGGCTTGCTGCTCGGTGCAGGGGGATCTGGCCCTCCTAGCTGATGGTAAAACTGCTGTCAGGTGTCAAATATTTGACAGCTTAGTCAAAAGTCTTGTGTAAATCCTCAGGCTACAGGGACTGACAGCTGATCACAGACAATGTGCAATGCAACATGTCCGCAAACATCTTAGATGATTACCGACGGTGCAAACAACCATTTTATTTCATGCACTTCCCAAAAGAAGCTGGAATTAGTTTTGGGTTAACGTTAACTCGCTGACTAGCCTGTAAGCTACGTGCTGCTAACGTTATAACAAAGCTAGATTTGGTGGATTTTCAGTGAGCACAACACTTTCTAATCCCTTTTCCCGCGTAGCTGGTTGGCCTACCACTCATTAAAATCCGGTTCTTATATCCAGACTAACTTCTGTCTTCCCGAAGACAGTGGGACACCACCGGCTGCCACTGCCACATTTGTACAATCCCTCCGCTGGTTGCCCGGCCGAGTACGAGCCTAGCCGCCCCGAAACCAACGCTTGTACGCCCGCGCAGTGACAATGAGCGCCCGTCAAAACTGTCCATCTACTGAACAAACACCCAGGCTACAGCCCACCGCCTCAACCACTCGACGAACCACAACCCGAGTCACAATCTCGAGTTAAACTACACCGCTTTTACAATTGCGCTCACAGGCAGTTTACCCTGTTTGCAGACCGCGGCGCCCAGTGACCAGCGGAGCTAAATGGGCAGGCTAATTGTTAGCTAGCTAGGTTAGCTCAGCTAGCCATCCCTGGAATTGCAGCCAACTGGCTAAAAACCAGAAAGCTCGGCCTGACAGAAAACCTTCATTGTGTTCAGCTGCTGTTCTCCACAAAGACCTCGTCAGGAACCAAAAAAAAACCCTCGAAATGCGAAAAACGTCTCAACTGACAGTCAAATGGACCCTTGTAAGTCCGTGCATTTTATCGCTCCTGGTATTTTTTTTTTTTTCCTGGTGGTGGTGATTGCTCTTCGTCACCCACTCCTCAGCCCCGGTGTGGCGCTGCTGCTGACGTCGCTTGGGATGGGATTGATGGACAGGCGGGCGGTGCGAATCAGAGCAGAGCTTGTGGGCGAATTTGGGCGGGTCTTCATTGGATGGTTAATTTCCCAAGTTTGCTTGAGAGGAAGGCTTCCTTTCGGAGGCGTGTCGGCGAAAGCAACTGACATTTGGCTGGACGGGCAACGCCCATCTCCTGTCAAAGACCAGCACATCCCACACACACACACACACACACACACACACACACACACACACACACTGCACACTGTGGGTCCTTATACGTACTGTCAGTGGTTCATCCTCCCTGTTTCTGCTCATCTTTACAGTCTCCTGCAACAGTTTCACAAGCTCTGGATATATTAAAAACATCTGTCAGCAAGCAGAAACTACTGTGCTGTAATTTGGAGATACTTTACCTTTTTCCATGTTTTGCTACTTGACATTTCTTCGCCACGCTTGTGGGAAATATTTCAAAAATAGCATAAAATAATAATTAATAATACAGTCTAATCATCTCATTACCTTTCATATTTATCTTATGATGCTTTAAAGGAGATCAACCACTGGATCTTACTCTATATGAAGCAGTAAAAAAAACAGCTTCTTCGACTAGCCAAGAATATTACCAAATAATTTTTCTGTCGAACGAGTATTTTTATTTTTGATACAGAATCAGAATCAGAATGAGAATCGGGTTTATTGCCAAGTTAGTTTTTACACATATGAGGAATTTGCCTTGGTGCATTGGTTTAAATATAAATAAAGACATAAAGATAAGGATAAAAAGATCTAAGCTGTACAAGAATGATATTTACAATGTGCAAGATAGAAGAACCAACCAAAGTGCATTAATGTAATGCATATATACAGGGTGGGTTTAAGAGTCAGTGTCAGTGGGGGTTCTGGGCCTTGTTAATGAGGGCAGCTGCAGACGGGAAGAAAACTACTAATGTACTAAAACTAATGTACTTTTACTGAAGTGGGATTTTGAATGCAGGAGTATTTTTATATTGTATTTCCTCCACCGCTGTCTAAGTTTGACAACACACTTGATGTACAAATAGCATCAACATTAACACAAAACCCCCACTGTGTCAGAGAGTACAGCCGTAATTATCATCTCTGGCTTTCTCCCAAAAAGAATATTCTGTCAACAAACAAAACAGATAGCATCACAGATACTGTCAATATTTGAAGTGGCATTGCTTCCTTTTATTATACAGTAGATGGTAGGATAAGTAAGTAAAGCACCTCGTGTTTTCTTGCAAACCTGGTTACAAAACAGAAACTGTCATGTTTACTTTGTAATGTCACACATGATACAGGACCAAGACAAAGAAAAGGTACGACAATTATAAATCGACCAAACAATTTCACAGTTCTTTTTACTGATGCTCATGAACCTGATTGGCTGTGGACCTTCAGCTATAGTCAGCATATTATATTATATATATATTTGTCTTTATGTTAAGTTTTATACATTAAGATAAGTTATAAAATGTATATTTAGAGGGTTATCTATTTATCATATTAAAGAATTATTATCAGTGATTCATAAACATTTAAAAAGTTGAATCTATTACGATGTATGTTTTATAAGCTTGTCATATATTTTGATTGTAAAATCTTTTAAAAGCCGTTCACGAAACACATTTTGTTTTGAATCTATGAAAAGAAATCATCCATGTTTTGGTCCATATACAGTAGAGCAGTGGTGGAAGAAGTAGTCACACTATTTACTTAAGTAAAAGTACTAGTAATAACACCACGTAAAAAAAATACCACATTACAAATTTGACTTAAGCAAAATAAAGAATTATTAACAGTGAAGTGTATTTTTTATTCATTTATTTTTTTTAAGATTATCTTTTGGGCTTTTATTGCCTTTATTATAGTGACAGCTGAAGATAGACAGGAAAGGGGGGCAGAGAGAGGGGATGACACGCAGCAAAGGATTCGAACCCTGAGCCGCTGCAGCAAGGACTCAGTACATGGGTCGCCCACTGAGCTAACCAGGCGCCAGTGAAGTGTATTTTGACCAAAGTAAAATTTTATTATTATTATATAACTATATATATATTATAATGATAACACAATATATAACAAACACTTTTGTGTTTTTTGTGTTTTTTTCTAAATCTCACTGGCACAGTTTGGTTCTTTTCTCTCACTTTTGATTCTGCTGTTGTGTTTTATTGTGCAAATAAATAAATAAAATCAAAATCAAATACAGTTTACATGTGCCGACCATGCATGGAGCCTTTTTCACAGTGGGAATTATTTTTATGAGCTACTTTTGCACTAGTTGCCTGATCCATAGGAACCGTTAATGTGTTGGTCCAGTCCACTTACAGTAGTAGTAGAGAATGATGTGACACTTTACATTATGCATTCATTCATTCATTACTCCTTTCAAAAGGCCGAGCTCTGGCAGTATACAACCACAGACTGCTTGAAGCTGTGGTTGTGGATATGTGGAGACTGTGTCTGCTTCTCCTTTTAACATTAACCCAGAATGTATCGTTAAACACATGGGATTTGAACCCACGGTGTTTATGTCAGAATGTAGCTTCAAATACAACTCTCAGCCAGCACAACAATGTCAGTACACTGCACACAAACATCCCCTCCATGTTGTTACTGTTACAACCCTTAAAAAACTTCTGTGTCACAGCCATAATCATAACAACCAAAGCACAGCTATGTCTGCAGCCACAATCACAGCGACAGCACCGGCCACAGTTATGTCATTGTTTGGTTGTACTCATAATCACAGCTACAACCTGTCTCAGTCGGCCTCTGCAGCAGTCAGTGAGAGGTTATCTGTCCAGCTGCACCTGAGCCTGCCACAGCCGAAGGTGAGGGTTGTAACAGAACTACTACACAATATATATTATATAATAATACAGCTCAGTGTTTCTCTATGGAGCACAGGGAATGCGAAATAACTTCAACCCCTGCCGTGTCCACCATATTTTAAAAATCCTGGAGCAGCCACTGATTATTGGATTAACATTATTGAAACATAAAGCATAATTCTAATGTTATAGCTGGGGAAAGCGAAGCTGCTTTCACTGATGGGGAGTTCAATTTGTAATATGGCATCATGTTTTCTGTATACAATCTTAATCTTCACAGTAACTAATAACTGAATGACTTTTTATTCATCCTGTCAACATTTCAGTCTCCTCTGATGGTGACTGTGACAGAAGCGGAGTTAAAGTATCTCTCAGTTGTAACAGTAGAAACTCTGCCCCATGTATTTAAATCCTTCAGTACTAATGATGAATGATGATATATATAATATTGTAGAGTGACATCTTGTGGACATGAGATGTAGTCGCAAGGGTGAGACACAATAAAACACAATTTAATTTAAAATATTAAAATGTTTTAATACCTTAAAAAAGCATTTTAATAATTTCTAATCTAAATATCTGAAATCTCACTTTAGGATAAAGAACATGTAAATGAGTGCAAACAAGTCACATACATTTATTTAAACAAGTGGAGTGAACAGTGTTTATGGGATAATAAAGAAACAAAATCATTGTCCTACCCTTAAACATTTCAACAATTACATTACAAAACAGATATAAAGGTTAAAGTTGATCAAAGGGGCAGTTCTGAAGCTTAATTACTAAAGACTCAAAATGTAAATTCAAAGGAAGAAGTGCACCAGATAACCTCAGACTTGTACTTCGTGTACTCGTACGATCAGGAAAATCTTCGGCTATGACTCATGAGCCCACAGAAGTGACTTGCAACTTTTTTCAACCTCATTCAACAAACACTTTTCAGATATTTTAGAGACACATTTCAGTTTCTTTTGTTTTTTTCCTTCAAGCCTTTTTCTTTTGAACTCATTTGTTCATGTGTCTGTGCACTTTCATCAAGTTAATTTCAATAAGAATATCCTCATTTTCCATTTAAGTCTTAATGTTAAATAAAATTCATTATGCATTTGCAAATAATTGTTTAAAAAAATGATTTAATAGTCATTCCCAACCTGGGGTTGAGAGAGGGGTCACAATATAATAAATATAGCAGGAAAAGAGAAAAAATATTGTCCTGCTACACACGTTTGTATTTATTTTTTCTGATTTTTACTCTACTCTTTGCTGATTTATTGTGAAATGTTGTTCACTCACAGTTCACATATGTGAGATGCTGCTTTATTTGCTCATTCTTAGTGGATTCCCCACAACAATAAAGCTCTAAAATCTTGTTTATGTTTCAGTGATTACTCTGGCTCTCCTCACACTCTTCTTCCTGCTGGTCTCTGTGCTGCAGCGGCTGCCTGGGACAGACGTACAGAACACAGTGTGCTGTGTCATTCTTGGAGATTCAGACTCACATCAGGTGAACACAGATTTCTAACTTCCTGTAACTGGAAGGATGAGGCAGGTACTTTCCTATTATCGTCAGTCCACGCCCACTTGCTATGCAGGACTCCCCAACACCCTTTCTTCCTACGTTTTTTCTTTTTTTTCAGTCATTCTCTCTCTCCCACTCTCTGAATGTCTTTTTTTTCCCACACCAGTCTCATCAAAGTATATTGTAAACACATCTTTGATCTTCTGGGCACATAGAGTTAAGTTCCTGAAAGAAATCTACTACTACTAACTATAATAGTGTAATAATACACTGTCTTTCATGAAATAATCAGTTTTTGTATGTATCTTTTTTAAGTACAACTTTAAATAAAAACACACATACTGTAATACAGATAAATGTTATATATGTCGAACTAACTTTTTTATGAACATGTGTTATATCATGTGTAGGTTGTTGTACTGAAAACTACATGAAGCTTATCTCAAGTATCAAACACACACACACACACACACACACACGATAAATCACTAACAAGACCCCTCCATACACACCTCTCTTACTCTTTCACCTCACCTTGTTCCCATGGCAATGCAGAGCTCAGGTGATCTCAATATCTGAGAGCATGAAAGCCTGGACCAACCGGTTCTGCTGGCCGAGACAAAAGATTGACAACCAAATAC